TTTAAAAAAAATTATGATGAGGGGCCACAGAGATAGCTCAGTGGTCTAAGTGCCTGCCTAGGTAAGCGCAAGGACCCAGGTTCAACCCCTGGTACCACATGCCATACCGACCCTGCCCCAGGCGCTTTGGGCTGGCCACCAAGACCCAGTGTGGTGGTGCACACCTGTAATACCAGCACTGGGAAGGCTGAGACAGGGGGATCACTACAAGTCCAAGCTGCATAGTGAGACCCTGTACCAAATATGTAAAACTAAGAAAAAAATCTGATGAGAGGGTTGCTTTATTTCTTACTTTTCATGGAGCTTCTTTTCTGGTTGTTTTCAGGAAGTTCTCTTATCTCTGGTTTCAGCAGTTCTACTAGGATATACTTAGGTGTTTTCTTCTTTGTATTTACTGAATAGAATCTGAGCTCCTTAAATCTGAGGTTTGTTATTGTTCATTAATTTGGGAAATTCTCAGTTGACTATCTCTTCAAATATCCCATCTCCTTTTGGGATTTTGATCATGTGTTAGTCTCTCTGTCTCTGTCTGTCTGTCTCTGTCTCTGTCTCTGTCTCTGTCTCTGTCTCTCTCTCTCTTTCTCTCTCTCTCTCTCTCTCTCTCTCTCCCCCTTTCCCTCTCCACTCCCTTCCTCCTCTCTCTCTGATACACTACTCCAACCTTCTTGGCTTCACAGCTTGACCCATCCAGGTCTTCACTGCCTTCAAGGAGATTAAATTTCTGCCACAACAGAAGAACAATGTGTCAGACACTGCTTGTTTGCTGCAGAACTTACAGAAGATATCCAGAAAGTCCTCATTAGCAGATCAGGATTAACTAAGCACCTTAAGCACAGTGCCAAGAGTGTCTGAAAATATAAGAAATCTTCCTAATGCTATTGGTGACAAAATATTAAATAAATAATATATAAAATGTTTATGAAACATACTGTTGTTTCTGCTCACCTTCAAATTTAATATTCTCATTATATTTGTAAAACTTGTTGAATTTATGTCTAGAATGACTTCTCTGCATGAGGAGTGAAGTCACAGTCAACTGCATATTAAATAATTTATAGCTGGTTAATTTCCAAAAATTATAAAAATCCTTTCAGATTATTTGAAGTACTACGTTTACTGTGAAGGCATATGTTGAATATGAGTGGGCCGAGAGTGAGCTTGGGAGCTGAGAAGCTGGAAACAGCCCCTCACTGCCCTGCAGTCCTCTGTGCGAGGCCTGCAGCAGGATACCTTCACCTGCCCCCTGGGTCACACATCCTTGTGCTGTTAAGAAATCAAATCCTCTGCCTGACCTCCTCCAGGGACCAGGTGCTCATTTCCCACTGCTTCCTGCAGTCTCAACCTTAGACTGGAAGCAAGGATGGGCACCATTTTGGAGGAGAACCTGGATCGGGTTCTCTTTGGACAGCGCTGTTTCCTACTTGTTATTTCCAGTCCCTAGATGTGCTGGGTGAATAGGGAAGAGGTATGGGGGAAAGTAAGTAGGGGTAAGGCAGGGAGCTATATGTCAGAGAGACAGAGGGAGGGCAGGTGCTCACAAATGGACTACCCAAAGCAGGTTCTTTGCTGAACAGCAACAGCTTCTTTAACCCACACTATCTGGATTTGGAACTTCCGTATCTCCAGCTCCTTTTTTTTTTTTTTTTTTTTTTTTTTGGCTCAGCCCACCCTGAGCGCAGGGCTGACAAGGCATGTGGTACCAGGGACCAAACCATGGTCCCCTGTGCCTGCCTAAGGTTGCCTAAGCAGGTGCTTTAGACCACTGAGCTAACTCACTGGCCCTCCAGCTCTTTTTGTTCTTATCTTCTGAGTTGTCATGATAATCACTGGTAAGCAGTTAGTTGCTTGTCCATGTCTTTGATTAAATGAAGAATTACACTGACTGTGTACCAAGGTACTGATGATGCCATTGCTACTCACTGGCTCCCCTGACTGGGCCTGAGCGAGGGAAGGGCAGGCAGTTAAGGCGGAGGCCAAGTTCATCTCCAGCTACAGAGAGTGTGGTGTGTACACACGCAAGCTTGCCAAAGACAGAGGCAACACTTGGAGGATCCTCTGATAGGTGCCCAGCTCTACATCAAGGTGGCTATGGACTTGGTTTCAAAAATGAATTGAGGAAGCCTGGGTTCCAGCAAATAGGTTTTAACATAATCTCTGTTTTATTGAAAGTAGTGTTCAGTTTGGGGACTCAAGAAAAAGCATTTCTCAAAGTTCTAGGAAGATTTAGTGCTTTTCTTTAAAAGCACTAGCTAGGAACCTGCATTTGGAACAAGTCCCTGTGTGATTTTTAGTCCCCCTGAAGTTTGAGAATCACTAGCTAAGGGATGGAATGGGGACTAGAACTATTTCACTCCTTCTGGTCTTGCAGGGTTCCAGGTAGTGACTGGCTCAACGTTTTGCAGACAAGCTCAGCTGGCTCCTCTCTGTGTTCCTGGCATTCCTTCCTCTGGGTCTCAGAGGCACTGAAAGAGTTAATATAGTTACAGGTAGGGGAGCAATTGTGGGATGGAAGCACCTACCCAGCCCACCCGGACACTTCCTGAGGGTCAGTTCAGGGACTTGGTCTGGATGTGGAACCTCTTGACACATTTCTGTCAAATTTCAGGAGCTCTGCTTCTCTCCCGAGTCTGCCTCTTACTTCACAGGACACTTCCTCTTCCCTCCTCCTCCTTTGCTCCTTCCTAGCTACCTGTTCATTTTTCCCCCACCAGCTAATCTCTTTCCCAGGCAAGTGGTGCCCTCTCCTGTCTGTCTCCTGCATGGGCGATGAGTGTGTGTGTCTGTCTTCCTCGGCATCTCAGTGGGCTCATGGGGACCTGTATATTAGCTCTGAGGAACGGACCTGAGCAGGGTGAATGCTGGGAAGTTGGAGTAGAAGCCAAGATTCACCACCAGCTGCAGAGTGTTGATGTGAGAGGACACACAGCTCTCCTACCTGCCAGAAAGCCCAGGGCAGTACTTACAACGGTAAAAGACCTTGGAGAAAGGGGGCTGCCGAGTTTTGAGGGGCTCATGTCCTAAACCACAGAGGGAAGATGAGTAGCCCTTCGCCACATGCTGAGAGGACACTCCTACAGGGCTGGAGGTAATTCAGGCAACCAGTGCCAGGCAGGCCAGGATGATGCCATCAGCATGGGATTGGTCCCCATTATTAAGACTATAAATGCTCTGAATCAGACAGCATGGCCAGAGGAGCTGGTACACTCAGCATGACCAGAGAAGAGCAGATGGCAAAGGATGCACTTTTGGGAAGGAAAGCAATGTGTGTCACATTGGACAGAATACTCAGAGGAAGCTGGCTGTGTGGCCACCAGCTCTGGGGCAGCAACAGCGTGGGCAGCAGCAAGAACTTCTGTTAGATTGGAAGACCCTCACACTATGATCAAAGGTACCTAGAGAAGCATCAAGGAACACCTCACACACAGGGAGTGATGCATTGTGGGGTACAGATGCGCGAGACAGGCCGGGGAGATGGCTCAGTGGAATAAGTGCTTCCCTGGCAACTGCAAGGGCCTGAGTTCAATAAATTAATTAATTAATTAATTTTTTAAAAGATATGAGAGACAGAAGCAGCAGGGCTGAAACTAGGTATGGTGGCGCATGCCTGTAATCCCAGCACTTGGGAAGCTGAGGCAGGAGGATCACCATGAGTTTGAGGCCAGCCTGGGCTACATAGTGAATGCAAGGGCAGCCTGAACTATGGAGCAAGACCTGTCTCATAAATACCAAAGGAGGAGTGGAGGGAGGGGGAGAGGGAGAAATTGCTTGTCTCCATGTCTGATAGTGTAATAAACTGAGTAAACTTGCATAGAAGTGGAAAGGGGGTGAAGAAAATTATATTCACTAAATTCCTGTATAAAGAGGAAGCTGTCTTTGCTGGGAACAATATTTTGATAAGTGTTTCAAGTTGCAGCTGAGATTTGAGCGAGGCCTGGGTGTGGGTGGAATAGCTCTGCTTGAGACATGCAGGAATCTTAGAATTTTGCATGTTACACCAAACAGAGCAGGCAGTAAAAGAATGGAAGTAAGAAGGTTGGTGTTGGGTTCTGTTCAGTGTGAACCCCTTTCTCCATTACCCCCTTACATTTTCAGGAAAATACTAATGGTATGAGTGCCTGAAGACAAGTGGAATGTTTATACTGGAAATAGGTGCCCACATTTCTGTGGGAGAGGAAGGGCAAAGAGGTGACCCCAGATTCTGATGGAGGCTGAGCAGGGTTGCAGGAAAGAGATGCAAGGAGGAGCTTACAGAGGGGGACACCACAGAGGAGGACCTCAGCTGGGTGGGGCCTCCATCGACTGGGTTCTCAAGCTTTCCTGTTGTGTTTCTCTAGTTATCCTCAATCCTATTATCTATATCCAGATCAACTAATGAGAGGGACTCATTCCCTCCTGGAAGGCTATTGGCATTAGGTGGGCTGTCATCCTGCATCAGCAGGGTGTTCAGGCCCATTTCAGATGGAGCCACAGCCAGGGCCTGGCCTTCTCTGGTGCTGCTCTGACAACCTGTCTCACCTACCTCTCCACTGGAAGGATGGAGCAGCATTAGCATCTTACAGTTCTTGCTTTTTGTTGGGTGAGAATGGCAGCCATAAGATATGTTTCTGCCAGAGATATTTAATTGAGTCAGGGTCATAAGCAGAGAGAGACCTGGAAAGTTTCCTCAAACCTGGGTGTGTTGGCACATGCCTGTAATCCCAGAACCCTGAGAGGTTGAGGCAGAAGGATTGCAAGTTTGAGCTCATTTGAAGCAACTTAGCTGGGGAGATAGTGGCATAAATTCCTGCCTGGCAAGCGCAAAGTCCTGAGTTCCATTCCTGGTACCAAAAAAAAAAAAAAAAAGCAGCTTAGTGAGATTTTAAAATGGCTAATGATGTGGCTCAGTGCAAAGAGCCTGATTTCAATCCTTATTATCACTGGGCTGGAGATACAGCTCAGTGTGAAGGTGTTGGCTTCAATTAAGCAAAAAGGGAGGGAGGAAGGGAAGGGAAGGGAAGGGAAGGGAAGGGAAGGGAAGGGAAGGGAAGGGAAGGGAAGGGAAGGGAAGGGAAGGGAAGGGAAGGGAAGGGAAGGGAGGAAATATTTCTTGAGAGAGTCTTCGTTTTCAATACTGACATCTTTAAGCCAATAAAGGCAAAGGAAAGCTGAAACTTTTTGAAGCAGAAAAGCTTCCTGCTGATCTGCTGGGTACTGTGGCCCTTTCTTCAACTGATGATCACAGAAACAATTCATTAAGGCAGTTTATAAATTAAAACCAGAAAGACAGGCCCAGGTCCAAGTTTCAGGTATATCTCACAATTCACAGTGTCCCTCAGTGTCTCCATTCCTCTGCCTGGCTCTCCAAAGGGTAAGGTTGACTTTTTCAGAGATCCATGTGCAGCCCAGAGAACAAGGGTGAAGCCAAAACCCCTGTAGTGATCGCAGCACTATGGAAAGTCCTTTGAGAGAACTAAAGTGATGTTGGCCAAAGACCCAAGCTGATGGCCAGTGAATGGATAATGTAGGTTAGCAGCTCTTGTCTGAGAGAATACAGTAACTGAGGTCATGCATTGCTAATGACTGGGGAAACTGTCTGGGCTCATGGAGAGGGACAGTGTGCCTGCCCTTGGTGGGGAGGTCTCCCTGAATCCAGCTTAGGCACCTGGCCTTGCACCTTACCAGACTGTGAGGGATGTCAAGTTTCCATGGTGGGAGGAATGCTCATCCAGTGCTACCAGCCTGGGCATATCTGGGTATCCCCCCAACCAGGACAGGTTGGCAGGGGTCTTTTTCTCTATTGGGTGACTAGAGGAGGCCACATCAGTCTTCCAGATGGCCTCTGTCTGGTTCCCCTGTTGGCTGGAGGCAGAGGGTGCAGAGAATGTCAAGACACCAAGAGTTAGACTGAGAAGCCACAAGCTCTCCAGGGTCATAAGACCCAAGACACTCAAGTAAGAATTTGTCACTTCCCCAATATGCCCACTTCCCTGAAGCGCTTCTGGCTGAGAAACTTCTGGAAGAGGCTCTCTGAGTAACCTGTGTTTCCAGGCACATCTCCTTAGGCTGAAGTCCTAAGCCAGCCCGTGCTGGAGCGGGTATGTGGGTATGGGTCTGCATGGCTGTCCAGGAGCTCACAGTGCCCCTGAGCCTGGAGTTCATGCAGTGGGAAGGATCAAGCGTATTTGTATGGACAAACCAATGGCAGCTGCCAGGTTGATGCTCGGAGTAGAATTATTTATTATTCAGCTGTGGTCCCTCTGAGTGTTTTAACAGCATAGTTTGAAACGCAGTCAGGTAACTCCCTGCAACCCACACACTGACACAAACCCCAGCCTGGATCCCTACATCAGGGCTGGGCAGGGACCTGGCAACCCACGGAGTGATCTTTGTCTGTCTGTGCTTCCTGCCTCCCGCCCATCCAGCAGGCTGTCCTCTCAGCTTCTCTGCACCTACCTGACTGCCCAAAGGGGCACACATTCCTGATGTCTGGGTGGAAAAGATCTCTTGCAGGTAGGGGTGCTGGAGTGGATCCGCCGGGATAAGGTTGGAGGTGACTTGCATTTCCTTGGCTTTGAAGAGACGACCACAGGGATGTTCAGGTGAATGTCCCACTTCAGGCGGAGCTAAAGGAACCAGCAGAATGGCATCAGGGAACAAGAAGTGCTGGGCTCAGAGATGCCCAGAGGGCAAGGTCCAAGGCACTTCTCTAGTTAGAACCCCTGAGGCCCAAGGTTTCAGAGCTTTCCTAGAAACTCCTTCAATTCCTATTTGATAAGCTAGTTCCTGTTTTCTCCATTTTTTTTTTTTTTTTTTTTTTTTTTTTAAGAGTCTGGTCAAATGACAAAGCAAAAGGAAGAAACTAAAGGAAGCCAGGTCAGTTGGAACCTGTGAGACACTTGCAGGGGCCATGGCAAGGAGCAAGGCAGTGTCTGAAGGGCACAGTGTAAGTTTTCATCCAAACCTAGTTCAGATACTCAGAAAGGAGCTCACATAGCTCAGCAGTATAGCACTGCCTGGCATGCACGAGGCCCTCACTCAATCCCTAGTACCCTGTCCCCCCAAAAAAAATAATTGTTATACATTCTCTTTCTTTCTCAACCCCTAACCAATTTAACAAGTCCAGTCTGCAGCAGCAGATGGTCAGGACTGTTGCAGGTACTACGTGCTGAGTTGGGAGAAACCTCCAAGGCTAATGCTCTTCCCACAGCCTGAGGCCAGCACTTGGACTCACTCTGTTATGGTTTGTGTCTGGATGTCCCCCTAAAGCCTCAAGTGGACATAGGGGGTGGGCTCTTCAGAGGTGGCTGAACCTAGAGTTTGAGATTGGTTCATTGTCCAGTGCTGGGGCTGGTGTATGCGTGCTACACCCGCCCTAGATGGGCAGCTTGCATACATTTAAAGGGACCTTCTTTTGCTCTTTTCTACTACTGTTACAAACTGTTGCCCCTCTGCCATGCTGCCCTTGGAGCCAACGGAGTATGGACTGAACTCTCTATAAACTGTCAGCTCAATAAACCTATTGTTCCTTAATTTGGAGTCAGGTATTTTATCTCAGCAATGACGGAAAACTAACTACACACAATCCTTTAGCAGGCTGCCTCTACACACTTGAACTCAGCTCAAGGTCAGGTGTGGTGACGCACACCTGTAATCCCAGCACTTGGGAGGCTGAGACAGGAAGATCACTGTGAGTTCCAGGCCAGCCTGGTGTATACAGTGAGTTCAAAGCCAAGCTAAACTACATAGTAAGACACTGTCTCAAAAACAAAAACAAAACCAAAACAGTACTCAGGGGGAGACTTCTTATGTATACCCCAAGCACATTCCAGCAGCTCTGAGTCACTGAAGTCTCTCCAAATCCCTCCAAACTCCCAGCCATCCCTTATAGAGCACCTCCTCCCCTGCTGCTTCTCTGTCCCTGGGAACTGAGGGAAAAGCAGAGGAAACTGAGCCAGCCATCTTTTCCAAGCCTTCCTGAGCCTCTGATCTGGAGCTTAGGGGTGCTTCTCCTGCACACTTGTACTGAAGAATCTGCAAATGAAGAAGCTAATAGGCATGGGCCAACTCTCCTGAAGAGCAAAGGGCTACTCCTGCCATGTAAAAATGAGTGTGGATGTCAATTGAATGCTGGTATAATAGAGACAAAAATATTAATGTTCCCAATAGGTATGAATTTTTATGTTTTGGGTTATTTTTTTTTTCCTTTGGCATAGAAAATCTAGAAAGTAAGCAGAATAGTGATGAGCAAACTAAATATCAGAGAAGCTAAATCTGTGGATAGTTACATGTTGCTTAACAACAGGATGTATCCTGAGAAGTGCGTCACCAGACAACTGCGTCATCATGCAAGCACAGAGTGAATATACTCATCAGCCTAGACGGGGTGAGCAGCCAATGCCAAGGCCCTTGATGCAATCACGAGAAATGGTAGAAACAGGATGTACGATGATATCAGCTTCGCGTGGCACCCTGCCTTAGTCAGCTTTTTAAGTAGGAGGCATATACTCTGGAGTAATGATAAAAAGTATAGCATAAACTATATACGTATAAACTAGTAATACAGTTCCATCATCAAGTATCTTACACTGCAAATGCCTTTATGTGCTGTACTTTATAGGACTGGCAGCTCAGTAATTTTGTTTACACCAGTCTTCTCGGAAAAATGTGAGCAATGTGCATGCTGAGACATTATAATAACCATAATGTCACTAAGGGGTAGGACTTTTTCAGCTCCATTCTAATCCTATGGGACTACTGTCATACGTTTTGTCCATTATTGACAGAAATACCATTTTGTGGTACATGACTGCACATAAAAATTCATAAAACATGGGGCTGGGGAGATGGCTCAGTGGAATAAGTGCTTCCCTGGCAAGTGCAAGGGCCTGAGTTCAATCCCCCGTTCCACAAAAAAAAATAAAAATAAAAATAAATAAAAATCATAAAACAAGAGATATAAAAAAAGAACAAAGAACAAAAGGAAGAAGTTTTTTGTTCTATTATCCCAAACTTTTAACTATTATCTCTGGGCCCTGAGTTTTGATTCAAAAAAAAAAAAAAAAAAAATTCTGCACTAGCTGGGTGTGGTGCCACATCCCTGTAATCCCAGCAATTTGGTGGGACTGTTTCAAAATTAAAGAGACTAGGATATAGCTCAGTGGTACAGCATTCCTGGGTTTGATCCCTGTCTTAGTTACTTTTCTCACTGCTAAGACAAACTATCCAACACCCAAGTTAAAGGAGGACAGGTTTATTTGGCTCACAGTTTGTGAAGGATCCAGTCCAGTCAACTGGCTTCAAGGCAGGGCTATATAGCAGAGGGGTATCACAGAGGAGAAACAGCTCATGGTGAGTAGAAGGCTGCAAAGCAGTGAAGTAGCAAAGAATCAGCAAGCAACAAGTGACCAGCAGGGACCCTCTTCCTGAGTCCAGCATGGACAGCTTAGTGAAAACTTGGCTCAAAAAAGAAAAAAAAAAAAAAAAAAAAAAAAAAAAAAAAGAGCTGGGGAGATAGCCCAGAGCAAAGGCCCTTGGTTCAATTTCCAATTCTAGGGCCTCATGCATGCTTAGGAAGCACACTACCACTGAGTGAGATTCCCCAGGCCAGGGAGTTACCTTCTAATTGTTTTTGGTTGCTGAGCCTAGCATCTCTAAGTGGGGAGCACAGTGGCGAAACCCAACCACATAGCACTCTGGGATTCATTCAAGATGCACTTGTATATGAATACGCAATATGCATAGGCATGCAGTTTGGATGGTTACCTTATTAAATAATGCAAGGAAAAAAGATACAGGTTTGAAAAAAATGAAGTTTAGCCTGCTGTCAGTTGTCAGCTTGAGAGGGAGAGGATGAATTCTCAACGAGGGTATGGAAAGATGAGGATAGGCCCCAGCACAAAGGGAGAGAGAATGAGACTGATCCTGTTGGTGTAGACCAGGGGTACCTACGCTATGGGCCATGGTGCCTGAGGGGTCAGTGATGTCCGAGAGAAAGGAAGATGAGAGAGTGTTCAGGCATGGCATGGGGTGTGTTAGCAACAACAAGGGACAGAAGCAGGTGCCATTCCTCTTCTGGGTGTGAACTTGAGGAAAATGAAATCATCAACTCCACAAAGATCTTGGTGTTCCTGTGTTCCCTGAAGCACTATGTGCAAGAGCCAAGATATCGAGACAGCCTAGGGGTGTGTGTAAGCAAAATAGATTATTCAGCCTTACGAGAGAAATATTCTTTTTTTTGTGTATGGTTCTGGGGGTTGAGACCAAAGATGGGGCAAGTTCCACTGATATACATGCAGCAGGAACTCCTGCATAAAAATAGAGAGGAGAGCCTGCCACTTGCCATAATATGCTTGGGCCTGGAGAACATGATGTTAAGTGAAATGAGCCAGACAAAAATATAGTGCACGATAGTATAGTATTTATATGTACAGTCTAAAAACAAAAGACAAATACATAGAGATAGCAAATAACAATGGTTATCAAGGGCTAGTGTAGGGCAAGAGATAAAGAAATGAAGGTACAAGGATACAAAGTAGCATATAAGTGAAGGGTAAAGAACTCTATAGATCTAATGCACAGCATGAGGACTGTAATTAACAATAGTGGATTGTAGTTGCGATTTGTTGTAGTTGTTGTTGTTGTTGTTTGTACTTTTAGGGAAGTATCTACAGGTGTTCAGTATCTCACTACTAGATCAGACTCGTAGTGATCCACCTCCTTACAGCCTCCCAAGAGCTGGGATTACAGGCACACACCACCCACGCCCAGTCTCAATTGCCATCTCAGCACTCCCGGGAGTGGGAGGTGGCATAGCAGGCCCCAGGATCAAACCCCCAGCCCCTGTGCCTGTTGGCTGGGACTTTAATCTACTGAGCTATTTGCCCAGCCCTTGTGGTTGTTTTTTGAAACAAGGTCTCACTATGTAACTCAGAGTAGCTTTGAGCTCACAATGTACCCCAGGCTGGCTTTGAATACAAGGCAATCCTGCCTCAGCCTCCCAAATGATGGGATTATAGGTACACAGCATCACACCTAGCTTGTATTCAGGATTTTTGCCAGATGGGTAGATTATAACTGCTATTGTGGGACAGTAGTTGTGTGAGATGATGGCTGTGTTTGTTTTCATTGTAGTAACCATTTTACCATATATATCCATCTTGTAATACCATGCTGTACATACAATAAGATTTATTATTTTTTTATACTTTTCAAAGTTTCTAATACTAGGAGAAGATACCATACAATTTTAAATAAATTGTAAGTCAAAAATATAGTATAAATCTCAGAACAAAAATTAAGATTAAGGAATATTTCAGAAAATTAAATACTAATTAATTAAAAATTAAATGTTTCAAAACAATTGAACTAAGAAAAAGTTTTCATGACCGCAAAGAACTGCTAAGAGTAAAACATAAGATAAATACTATAATGGCAAGTAAATGACCAGCACTTCTAACAGTTTGAGGATAGGATATTGCACAAAGTTCTAGTGTGTTGTGGACATGCATAATGACCATGACAGTTACTGGTGGCCAGGTGTCACTTGTGGGACTGAGCTACAGCTATTTCTCTGAAATCCACCCTGTAGACCCAGATGGAATCATGACCCATAGGGTGGAAGAGAAGTCCATTTGTAGAGTGTGCTGATGGAATTATTTTGCTGCTGAACACAAAAGAATAACTGAAAGACTACTATTATATACCTCTTATTCTCCTGTGTTTGTTTGCCCTATTTGGTGGGTTCTTTCCATTCTCATTCATGGGGCTGTGATCAATTTGCTCCCTCTCTAGAACATCATTTAGTAGTCTATGTAGGCTTGGCTTTGTCATCATGAAATTCTTTAGTTGTTCTTTGTCATGGAAGTATTTCACTTCTCCATTATTCTTGAAAGAGAGTTTTGCAGGGTATATCAGTCTGGGTTGGAATTTGTTTTCTTGCAAGAAGTACTTTGCTCCATGCTCTTCTTGACTTGATGGTTTGTGAAGAGAAATCTGCCGTTACTCTGATGGGTTTTCCTTTAAATGTGATCTGTTTCTTTTCTTTAGCGGCTTTTGGTATACTCTTCCTGTGCTGAATTTCTGGGATCTTGATTATTATATGTCTGGGTGTGGTTTTAATTGGGTTGATGTTATTTGGAGTTCTATATGCTTCAGTTACATAAATGTCAGATTGCTGCCCCATATTTGGGAAGTTTTCTGCTATTACTTCTGCCCATATTCTTTTTATATCATTTATATTGACTCCTTCCTTCTCATTGATGCCTATTAGTCTCACATTGTTCATATTTGCATTGTCTTTCAGGTATTGAATTATTTTTTCCTGTATCCTTGTTGTTTTTAAGAGATCTTTTCTTACTTTTTCACTAGCTACAATGGTGTCTTTAAGGTCAGAAAGTCTATTTTCACTTTCACTCAAATGGTTTTTGTTTTTTTTTTTTCATTTTTGATGGTCTTTATTTCCACAACTCAAATAACTCAAATGTACAATAGTGTAATAATTGGGACATAATATATTGTATTATGATACCGAAATGCAAATAAGCTGCAGCTACACACAATTTGGATTATACAAGCATTTCATTCAATTTACTCAAGTGTCACAAACCAAAAGCACCAAACAGATGCACACTCTCCTTTGCATTTCTCAAATGGTTTTTTGCCAGCTTGTGATTGAGGTTTTAATTTCCTGTATATCACTTTGAACCTGTTTTATACATTCTATTTCTTTCCTATATTGCTTATTCAGCGGTTCCATCATTTTTATATTCTGCTCTATTTTTTTATCAGTGTATTCTTTAGAAGCACTTAATACTTCTTTGATTATAGTTATCACTACATTTTTTAGTTCCAAAATTATTTCTGATCTGATTTCTTCTATACTTTTCTGCAGTTGTTTCTTCCAACATTATTATTTCAGAGATTTCAGGTGTGTGATTTCCAGTTTCCTCAGTGCTAGTGTCTTCTGCATTTGTACTGGGTGGACTCAGGGACTGAGACTGCATTTTGTTCCTTCTCTTTGTCATTTTATATACCACTGTCTTCTGACCTTTGGTGTAGAGCTTAGATAGAATTATTACCTTAGCACCAGGTCCGGATCAACAAAGTTCAGATTCCTCCAGGTGGGTGTTGCTTGGATCTGGCTGGAGTCTAGCTGCTGTGCTCCACTTCTTCCTGCTGCAGCCGTTGGAGCTGACCCCTTTGTGTCACTCTGGCAAGATGTTCTGCTCCTGAATCAGCTGGGTGGGTCTTGCCTCTAGCCTCTTTGCAGGGAGTTTAGCTGAAGGGTTCCACACTGGGCCTGCACCCTGGGTCAATTCAGGATCCGGTGGCCTGAGTTGTCTCAAGATTTATTATAAATAAATACTTTTTACCTCACAGAACCCCTGAAAAAGGTCTAGACTCAGAATTTCCATGGGTTAGCAGACCACACTTGGAGAACTGCTGATCTAATGTAGAATTTGAGAAAAGGTTCTAAAACTAAATGATATATGTTTCCAAACTCAAATGGCTAATTTACTGCCCAAGAAAGTGAACAAAAACAGGTCCAGATTGAGCACATTACTATGACTATGGAATAGTAAAGATACAGAGACTCTATCAGCTTTCAGTAAAACCCAAAGGCTCAGGGATTAGAATGACTCTGGACTCGTAACCATATCAGGACCTAGAAGACAGTAACAGTGCTTGCAAACTTGGGTGGGAAGATGGACTCTAACCTGGACCTCTGTAGGCAGGCAACCTACCAATTATGAGTAAGGGCAGTAATTAAGCAAAGGTACTTTCAGACAGCCAGGGTCTGGTGACCTACCTTTCTGTGTACTCTTCGTTGGAAAGTGACTAGAGGAGGGTGCTCCACTAAAACAAGAATATATGCTGGGAGAGAGGAGACCCAGAGGTTGGGCCTGGTGACGCACGCTTGTAACCCCAGCACTTGGGAGACTGAAGCAGAAGGACTGCCATAAGTTCAAGGCCAGCCTGTGTTACATAATGAGTTCAAAGCCAGCCTAAACTACATAGTGAGACCCTGTTTCAAAAAAACCAAACAAAACAAGGAAGAGACCCAGCACCTAGAAAGCAAAGGGGCAACGCCAGAGGGAAACAAAATGAATCTCTAAAAAGGGAATGAAGACAACAGCTGTGTCCTACATCTAGCAAGTACCCAGAACTGAAGAGCAGACCAACAACCTCACGACTGCAGGACCCAATTACCTCCTCCCAGAAGAGACTTTTGTGTCTTGGCTCATTTTGAAGGGTTCCCCTCATATATGCACATGGGGAGGCTGCACTCCCTTACACTCAGGCCGCATCCTGCCTTCAGCTCCTCCTGGGTCCAGCAGTTTTAACCTGCTCTCACACTTCCCACCTGCCTCCCCAGCCCTCCCCCATAGCCCCACAAGCTCATTTCCTTGGCCCTCCCTGCTGGTTAGGGTGACCCCCCCAAGCACCTTAGGGAAGATGGTCACCATGCTGCTCAGACACTCTCTGTGCTTCTCCTCCAGATCCTTCTGTTTGTCTTCCCAGGCCTGCAACCTAAGCCTCTGCTGGCGGTCAACATTTCCCAGAACCTGGAGTCTCTGGGCTGTGCTGATGGCCCTCGTTTTTCCCATAACTTGCATGTGGCTGATCACTGCTTGTCTGGAAAAAGAGGAGAAGTAATTTGGGGAGGAGGAGCTACCACCTCCCTCTAGAGACCAGTCTGTTCTCTGTAATTCCCAGAGGGGGTTGGGCAAGAAGAAAAATGGAAGCTGGTGAGAGCTGGGGAAAATGGGGAACAGGGAAGTGGGAAGTGATATCAGGTGAGGAGCCCTAGACTGGGCTGGAAGCAGGAAGGGAAAGTAAAGCAAATAGGTGGTCATGTATTAGGTGGGTTTATAGACAAGGGAATAGAAAACGAGGAAGAAACAGGGACACAGGCTTGGAGAGGGACACAGGCCCACTGTAAGGAGAGAGGCCTGTAAATGCCCCGCTTCCCAGGGACCTTCCCTCCTTAGGCACCTTCTAGGGTTGCCCAAGGGCTGGAGGCCAGGTGGCTTTTGCTTGTCCTCTCCTTTAGGAGGACTGGCCCAGCCCTGAGTGGTTCTCCCAAGCACCCTTGTCTGTGTTCCTCCTCTCCACTGGTTTTGGCTCTGCCCCCATATTGCAGAGGGTACCGGGGAGGGTGGTGCCAGGGGACTGCCAGGAGACTGCCAGGGCACTTACCGCAGGCTCTGAAAGTGTCTGTAGAGAACATACTTCTGGCATAGGTACCGCAGCCTGCGTGCGTTGAGCTCCATGGTAGTGGTGGTAAGCTCCAAGGCCTTGCTGTGCAGGTAATGTGGCAGCCCTGGCTTGGGCCCCCCACTCAGGAGCTGCAAGTTCTTCCTCTGGGCCTCCATGTCCATGTGGTACACTTTGTCCTTAGGGGTGACCAGAGGTCTCTGCGGAGAGGACCGGGTCACCCTTCGGATGGATGTCCCAGTGATAGGAAAGGAGGCAGATTTCTTGGGCTTGGTGGGAATGCGGCTGGCCTGTGGCATCTGGGTACACTTGGTTGAACTCATTATCCTCTGGCTTCCTGGGCCAGGCTGCTGGGGAGGGGAGGACCTGGGCAAGTATGGCCTCCTGCCTTGGCAAGCGGATCGGGCCCGGCTTGGGGGAGGCTCTGCCTGTTCCAAGTTCCTCCACCGACCGGTGGTTGTGAAGATCGGTCTCTTAGTGTCTTCCCTTGGCCCAACTGGCTCCCTCCTTAGGCTCCATCGTCCCTCTTCTGGCCAGGCGAGTGTCTGCTGCTGCAGGCTGGTGGCTGCCTCCATCTCCCATCGCCGCAGCTTCTCCTGGTGCTCCTGCTCCAGCAGTGCCCACTTCCTCTGCTGCTGCAGCCACAGCTCCTCCTCCTGCAGCCTCTGCTGCCTTCGCCTCTGCCAGACGAGCTCCTCTTCCCAGTGCCCTGCTGGGCTCTCCAAGGGCACCTCCCCAGAGCTCTCTGGGGACAGGTGCTTCCTAAAATGCAGCTTCATTTGGGCTCTTTCCTTTTCTGAGAAACAGTCCCCTTGTTTTTTGTCTTTGTGGGCTGAGCTTTCTGCCTCCAGTCTTTCCCATCTTGTAGGAAATTGGTGATTTTCTGAGGGTGACAACACAGATTCAAGGATCTCAGTGTCCTTGAACACATCTGTGATCCCTGAATGCATGCTTGTGGTGGAGAGTGGTTGACATGTTGGAGGAGTCACCCCACTGTCCCAGGCTGTGGCTATGGGACTTGAGGAAAGTGGTGAAGACAGCTGCTCCTCCTCCCTGGGCTCCTGTGGGGCCTCCTCCATGACTGCTCCTGTCTGTGGAAGGGTTTTTTCCTCAGGGGCAGCTGAGAAGTCAAGAGACACCTCAGCTGGGTCTCCAGCTGGACCTCTAGCAATCTGAATCTTCTTCAGCTGAAACTCTAGGGCATGCTTTGTCAGGACAAGGTCATGGCACTTCCCACCAAGAATCGCTATCTGCCTTAGGAGAGCATCCCTCTCACTCTCGAGATCTTGGATGGACTTCTGGAAGTGCAGCCTCTGGGTGCTGAGCTCCATGGCCATCTCTGTTTGCAAACACTTGTATCTGGCTTCCAGGTTCCTGTTCTCCTTCTGCTGGAGGATCAAGGCCTTGTTGAGGTTCTCTACCACAGTGGACATGTACCTGATGGCCTTGACCTCTCCCTTGTTGAACATGGTGGAGTCCAGGAGCTCCTGCAACATGGATGTCACCTCAGAGACCTTTGTACAGGTGGCGTGCTTGTCCTGGAGCATCTGTTCTGGGCTCAGTGGCTGAGGGGAGGGTGAAGATTTTTGTGGGCTTTTCTCCCTCCAGCCCTGCCAGAAGATGTGTTTGGGTACTGGGAGAAGCAAAAAAGAAAAAAAAAAAATCCCATGAATCCCAAGAAATATAGATTCTCCAGACCTTACTTGACCAAAATTCTCCCCTAATCCTTTTTGGATTGGGCAAAAATAAAGGACTGAAGCTGTCTGTCCCAGAGAACTGTGGTGAGTCTGAGCTTATAAATCTTGCCTTTAGGTCTGCCAGCTCCACAGTGCCTGGAAAGCCCAGAATAGTCACTCTAACTTGATTCAGTTCAATATACTGCTGGCCAGATATGGTAGCACACACCTGTAGTCCCAGAACTTGGAGGCTGAGGCAGGAGGATTGCCACACCATGGAGTTCAAGGCCAGCCTGAACTACATAGCAAGACCCTATCTCAGAAAACAACCAACCAAAAAAAAAA